CTCCATCAACAAGCCGCGGGATTGATAGTCTCTTTTTGTGTGTGTGACCTGAACGACGGTTCTGAGCTTGGGTTCTTTCAGAAGAGAAGTGGCCCAGCTGATGAAAGGGGGAAGCAGAGCATGCTGTGGAGTGGGGAGAGGGTGTGTGCTGCGGGTCTCTAATCCATCACTCTCAAAACCCCTGGATTTACAGAGGATGCTTGAGACCACCTCCGGCATGGAGGAAGATCAATTAGCAGACTCATGAATCGTGCATCGGGGCAGCACTGCGGATCTCTAAAGTAATTATTTGCTCTTAAGTAAGGGCTTCACCCTGGATTTGAGACCTTCGTAAGTGCTAATTTTAAAATTGTGAAAATAATGCAGTTCACACTGGAAAACTGCTCTCACTAGACCATTTTACACCGCGACACCTCTGCAGAGGTCCTGGGAAAGAGYAGGGGAGGGTGTGTAAGTGCCACAGTTAGCTCGTGTTAGGATACCACTGAAACCAGCTAACCAGCAAGTGTGTTCTGAAGTCCCCGGGATCCACTCACCACTGCCGGGGCTGCTGAAGTCAAGGACAGATGCCCCTGCGGCACCTAAGCTGTGAGTGCAAATCCTGGGGGACAGCGTCACATGCTGTTCTGGAGACGCACTAGCTCTTTGCAAATGCCCTGAAAAGACGTCCACTTTGACACTGTTTTAATTTCAAGAAACTGGAACCCAGGACTGATGTGATTGCAAAATGAATAAATGACACCGTTTGAAATAAAACACTCATGCACTGGAGACCTCCTGTAAGGGGCTGCAGTCTATGTCCAAAGCAACATCAATCAAAGCGACAATTATGGGCTGGGGATGTGGCTCAAGCGGTAGCGCGCTCRCCTGGCATGCACGCGGCCCGGGTTCGATCCTCAGCACCACATACCAACAAAGATGTTGTGTCTGCAGAGAACTAAAAAATAAATATTTAAAAAAAAAAAAAAARRAMYTTTTWWWAAAAAAAAAAAAAAAAAATCGACAATTATTTCCCACCTCCTGTCTGCTTACCTTAACCTCCCCCGAGGGAGCCCTCCCATGGAGGGCTCTGGTCTGGGCAAATCTTTGGGGTGATGCAATGGACTAGGCAGCCCAGGGGAACAGTACCAGGAGTCCTGCTGCTTCTACTGTGTCTGACCTTGGACAGCCTGCGTGCCAGCTGGAGTGGCCTGAGTGCCCCACCAGGCAGGTGGGAAAAGCCAGAGCTGGGCTCCACAGCCCATACTAGGAGCCGTCCTGGATTCCTTTTCCTCAGCTGTCAGGTGGGGGCTTGGGAAGGCCGTCCCGGGCCAGGAACTCAAGGTGGGGCTCTGGGGTCAATATTTACATGGCAGGCCCAGGGGCGCTTGGCCATCTGAAAGCTCCAGAACTTGAGTTCTGATATGTAACATTCATCCACCACATACACAGCAGTGGCACAACATGACCCAGTGGCCTGTAAGTTACACCTTTGTTTGCAAAGGTGGAGGGAAGCTGGCGGGAGGGGAGAAAGCCCGATTGTTCCATTAAACATTAAGTATTGTGCGATTCCGAGTTCATCCCATGCAGACCTGTTGAGAGGAGTCTGGTGACTGCTTGAGGCCGATATTCTTGGATTGCAGTGAGGAGACAGTACTTTTAGATAAGCTAAGTGCTCATGAAACTGCTACAGACATACCTATGTCATCCAACTGGGTCTTTCCTGCTACTAGGGATTGATCCCAGGGGTGCTTTCCTACCAAGCCACATTCTAGGTCCTTTTTAGAGACAGGATCTAGCTGACTCATCGTAGAGTCTCCCTAAAATGCTGAAGCTGGTCTTAAACTTGTGATCCTCCTGCCTCAGCTTCCCAAGTCACTGGGATTACAGGCATGTTCCACAGTGACAAGCCGTAATCTAGTTTTAATGAAAGCCAGCGTCACTGGGTTGATCTCAATCCTGACTTTTCTGCTGACTTCAGAAAGACACCAGCATGTCCTTCCCCACCTCAGTATCTCTGATTTTCGATAGTCAAGTGCATCATGAAAATACTTATCCTCTCGTGTCACTTGCATAGAAAGTGTTACTAAACAGAACACCAGAGATGCATCCCTTCCTGCAGGTACTTTAATAATGCTTGGTATATGCTTTAAACATTCTTACAGGCAGTTAAGTATAAATGTGAGTGTACATAAACTATCCTACTCCAGGAATAATTTAAGGAACCTTACAACTTTCATGAAAAATATCTTTACAGTATATCCCTTGGGTTATTATAGACCTGCATTGGTGTCCAGTACAGTGACCACCAGCCTCAAGTGACACTTATTTTTATTTTTTATTTTTTTTTTTTTAGAGACAGACAGAGAGAAAGAGAGAGAGAGAGAGAACTTTTCAATATTTATTTTTTAGTTCTCGGCGGACACAACATCTTTATTTTATTTTTATGTGGTGCTGAGGATCGAACCTAGCGCCCCGCTCATGCCAGGCGAGCGCGCTACCGCTTGAGCCACATCCCCAGCCCCTCAAGTGACATTTAAATTGTTTATAATTAAATAAAATGTAAAATTCAATTCCTCAGTAGTATGAGGCACATTCTGGGTGCTCATTAGTCACAGGTGGTCAATGGCCACCATACTGGAGTGTTTGTGCAAGTTCTGCTAGGCAGAGCTGCTGTAGACCTTCTCCCATATCTAACAGTCCCTACGTGACAGTAAATACTGAGTAACTGTTTGTTGAATGAATTAGTTCTAACTTGGTTCTTTTTTTTTTTTTCCTCCAATTTTGAGACAGGGTCTTGCCAAGTTGCCCAGGCTGGCCTCAAACTTGCAGTCCTCCTGCCTCAGCCTCCAAATCGCTGGGATTACAGGAGTATACCACTGCACCAGGCTTGTCCTATTAATTCTTCAAATGAGTCAAACAGAAAAGAGAATCTGTTTCAGCACAACCCACAATCTGGCACATGGGGACTGACTGGGGCCACTCCTTTTCTGCCCACTATCACATAGAAAACTTCACCCACTCTGGATCACACCCTCACCATATTTATCTGATGGCTTCATTCTAATCAAATTTGTCATGTTTCTCTACATAAATTACCTAAATGTTGTTTTTCCCCATTGGGCATCTGCAGTGGGTAGAGGATATATTGAGCCTTCCAGGGATTTTTTTTTCCCAATGCTTTAGTGTCAGATTCTAAACTAACTTAATTTTTAGTGCAAGAAAAAATTCCCCCCTTTAAAGCTTTTTGTTCTTAGAAACAAAATCAAAGCAAGTATCTCAGCATTCTGTGTATCAACAAAGAAACTGAAAACGTTCAGGGCAAAACCTTACACCCAAGATGAATTCTGTAAAAAAAAAAAAAAAATCCTTGAAACGGATCCAACTACTCTTGGGATTACAATAAACCCACCTTTGCCCTGGCTGGCAATTTACTGCCTAGCTGCCCAGGACAGGGACAGAAAGGGCTGGCAGAGAGATGGCATGCAGCTCCCCCCACCGGCTCTCCTTTTCTCTCCCACCAGGGTTTTCGTTCACAGCCCCCCTAAGTGAGAAGTCACTGGCCTCAAGAAAAATTTTCTTTTCCTGTCCCTTTGCAAATGGAATCTGCCTTTGCAAGTTCTCTCCACCATATCAAATATATGTCGCCCTTTAATCAAATAAACAGGAAAAGGTCCCATAAATTGGGGGAGGGAGCATTCACAAAGTTCCTCTTCTACAGTAGGTCTTTCTGCTAAGACTAAAAATACAGTTCTCCTCCCTCCAGAACCCTTCATAAATATGGTGGTAACCACAATTACATTGAGCAGGTTCCTACGAGAATCGGCTTTGGGATTTGCTCAAAAGAGGGGGAGCTTTGCAACTGCACTGTAGGGAGAAAACAGAACCAGAAAATGAATTTTCATGGAATTAGAATTAAACCCAAAGTTAAGGCTAATGTACATCTTCATTCCGTGTTGGACTCCTTGTGGTTCAAAACGCAAATACTAAGGGTGAGTTGCTGAGCAGAAAGAATCTTGGGGAGAATAAAAGTGTAGGGTCGCCTGCCCACGGTGGCCAGGGAGGACCAGGACGCTCTCCTATGACAATCTGGGGTCCTTTCCGTTTGGCGACTGATCCGGAGGCTGCTGACAGCCGACCCTGAAAGCCCTTGAATGATCTGAGTCCTAAATTGGACGCATCTCTGCAAACCGTCCCAAGTTCCTGTAACCAAAATCAAACGAACTAAGAACAGCAGTTGCTTTTCTCCCCATAAGTATCCTGAAACTTGGCGTCTGGGTCTCGCTGTCACTGCAATTTAGTAAGAACTAAATTCGTATAATTTCTTTCTCAAGTGGTTGGCATTTTTAGTTATTCATGCATTTTCTTCTCTTGCCTTTGGGGTTGGGGGAAGCCTGGGACGCTGTTTTTGTCCTAGAGCCCCACTCCCGCTGCCCGTACCTATTTTCCATCCCTTCCCCACTCCTGGCCCGTTTTGTTCCCTTGCAAAATAGGACTGTCCCACCAGACCCATAGACCCAGTTCAAGGCGGGGGCGCCGAAGCAGCGCCCCTCTACGGCGGGGGCAGGAAGCGCCGCGCGCCCTCCCGTTTCCCTCCCTTCTGGCAAAACAATAGCTTTTTGCCGGGAAAACGAAGTTGGGAGGAAGGCCGGCGCGCTCCGGGCCGAGTGGCACTTTCGGCGAGCTGCAGGTCCGCGGCCGCCAGACGCGCCCTCCTTCTGCGCGGGCCCGGCCCGCCCGCCGACCCTCGCTCCCTCTCCGCTCCCCAGCCCCAGCCGCGCCCCCGACAGGAACAACACTCCCGCCCGCTGCSGTGCGGACCCCAGTCGGGGTCCAGGCCCAGCCCGCCACGAACAATGCGCGCCCCGCCCCGCGCGCCCATTGGCCGGCCCGATTGGGCTGCGCGCGGGGCGGCGGGCGGCTMGGCGCGCGTGCGCGGGGCGGGGCGCGGGCGGGGGCGGTGCTTTGTGTGCGGCGGCGGGCGCGGGGCGCTGGGCGCGGGGCCGCGGGCGGGCGGCGGCATGGAGGAGCTGAGCAGCGTGGGCGAGCAGGTCTTCGCCGCCGAGTGCATCCTGAGCAAGCGGCTCCGCAAGGTGCGTGCCACCCCGCCCGCCGCCGCCCGGCCCGCCCTGGCGTCCGGCTCACCGCCTGCTCTTCTCTCCCCGCAGGGCAAGCTGGAGTACCTGGTCAAGTGGCGCGGCTGGTCCTCCAAGTGAGTCCCACGATGCGGGCCCGCCTTCCCGCGCTCGCCACCTCGCCGGGGGTGGGGGCGGCCTGGGGACCCTAGGTCGCGCCGTCTAGGGAGCGGGGCGTTCACGAGCGAGGCGGGAAGTTCGCGGGGTCCCCGAGCGTTCCGCGGGTGGGGGCGCCAGCCGGGCCTGGGGCCGCCCTTTGTTTACGAGCCCGCGGGGAGCGGAGCTGGTGGCTTCCCTCTCCGTAACCCCCAGCGGCCCTCCACCGCTGCGCCCGCGCTCTCCCCGGGGCCCATTTGTTGCTTTCACCCCCGCCCGGCTCACCGCTTCCTGGCCTGGCGGGGCAGGCGCGGGACGCGAGCCCCCCTCCGCCTATCCATATTTCCCCCCGCTGTAACCTGAGCTTCCTATTGATGGATGTGGGACTCCCCCCTCCCCCTTTCTTTCCTTTAATGGAAGGGAGGGGACTTAAAGTCCCCTGAGGCTGCCTCCGCAGCTGCTCCGCACCCCTTTTTACCCCGACTACCCTTTCTTTGCTCCAACTCCGGTGCTTGGCCCCCGCTGGCTGGGGCGCCAGCCACATTGTTCTGTCTGGGCTGTCTGTGCCCCTCAGTCTCCCCCTCCCCGCGTCCTGGACCTGCCTTCCCTTCCCTCCCTGGCTCCGGGCCAGGGTTTGGGGGATTCCCTTTCTGCAACTTTGTGGTTTTGGAGGGGGGGATTTGTTTTCCTCCCAGGCGCAGACTTGGAGTCCTCCTGTGGCCTTTTTAATTGAGGGCTTGAAGTGGCAGTTTCTCTGTGGATTTGAGGTTAGGGCACTGGCCTCAAGGACCTCCAGCATCTGGGTTGGGCCTTTTAAGGGCTACTGAGCCAAGGTGTCCTTGCGTCCAGTTGTGCTAGGGGAGCAGTGGTGACCCAGGCAGGGCTGGGTCTCCGGCACCAACCTACTCTTTGCTTTTCCAGACATAACAGCTGGGAGCCAGAGGAGAACATCCTGGACCCACGGCTGCTCCTGGCCTTCCAGAAGAAGTGAGACCAGTAACTGTACAGGAGGAGGGGAGAGTTGGGGCCAGTGGCCCCCTAGAGGGCTTGGGCTGGGCTGATTTTAGGTCTCATAGCAAGACAGTCCCCAGGTCTCTTGTGCCATCTCCTTGGCAAAGCATCCAAGGTCCCCAGCCAGCACTCTCCCTATCTGAGGAGTCCCTAGGAAGTGCTGCTTTGGTCTCTGGTGGACAGGCTGGCAACAGCACACCTCCTCTGTTCTTTCCTGCAAAGGCTCGGCTTTCATTTGACCTTTTTGTAATTTGTAGACTGCACTAATAAGAACCAGGGCCACAGGTTTGCCGCAAAACTGCAGGCCTGTCCTCTTGCCCCTACAGAAGTGTCCACGGGCAGGAGAAGGCTCAGACAGTGAGCTGACGCCACAGCACAGTTTCACCTGTTGTGTCCAGAGCAGTACATTAACTTTGCTCTGACCTGCCAAACAGTACTGAGGTAGAACTCGGGCAGGGGTCTGCAGGCTTGGGCTGGATTTGCTTATGTAATTCTAGATGTCATTCCCACCTATAGGTAGGAGACCTGGGTTAAGAGACAGGCCTCCGTGAGGTGTTCTAGAGGCAGGGTGGTGAGGGAAGGCAATGGTGTGCCCACTCATCCCGGTGTGAACACCATGTGGTAGCAAATTGTGGGTGGCAGCCCGATGGCTTCCCCCTTATAGGAGCTTCCTGTGTTCAGAGGYAGATGATTTGGTGCTCAAAGCCTCCCGGCGGGGGTCACTCTGACAGGCTAGTTCTCAGGTCATCCTAGCAGGTAGGTTTTCGCATGGCGAGAGAAAGTAGGTGCAGGTGCTGGCTTTGGGAAATCTGGTATCAGCCATCTCATCACCTTCTGTTTAGCTCRTAACTTGGTCCTGTGAACCTCAAGGAGGTCAGCTTGACACACTGCAGGACCTTAGTTCATTTTTTTGCCTTTGAGGTGGCCCCCTTGGGTGAGGTGCTGTGGCATCCTCCTGTAGTCTCACCACTCTGAAGGCAGAGACAGGAGGATCACTTGAACCCAGGAATTTAAGACCAGCCCAGGTGAAAAAACGACGGTGTCCTAGGACTGAGTGTCCTTCTGTGGTAGAGAGCTCGCCTGGCATGTTTGACCCCCAGCACCACAAAGACAGCAGACAGCATTCCAACTGTTGAGCGGCACGTGTCCTCKACCTAGCTTTTGGTTAAACAGATGAGAGCCAAAATATCTGAGAGTTTTTAAACCGTGGGTGGCTAGGATTACATCGTGGAAGAAATACAACCAGGAAGGTGGGCCTTGCCTGGGAGTGCTAATCAGATTCTCTAGGGGGTCACCTTCCAGGCCCCGTTATCTATTTTATTTTTTACATAATATCTCTATTTTTATGTGGTGCTGAGGATCAAACCCAGGGCCTCACACAGGCTAGGCAAGCGCTCTGCTGCTCAGCCCCAGCCYAGCCCTGTTTGTTTAACTACGGGAATCTTCTCCAGGTCAGGCCCCTTCCGATGGGGTGGCCTGAAGTATGAGCTTCGGCGGGGGCTGGGGGCCATGCTCTTGGGAGTGCTTCCTGACCCCTGAGGCAGGAGGGCTGCAGGAGGTGCAGGCTTTGAGCCCTCACTACTGCTTCGCCCATGAGCACCTCCGTTACTTCTGTCAAGAGCAAGTGGCTAGAGAGGAGAACTCGGGAGAGCCTGGCCAGCAAACTGACCCTGGGGAACATTCTCAGGCAGAGGTAGGACTTTGATGGTGGGGACATTTTTTGCTGTCTCCTTGYCTTGGTCTTTCTTCTGTTAAAATGAGAGTTTGCACCACATGCCCCAAAAGCTGCTTCCCGTTAGCCAAGCTGGATTTTTTGCAAGACATTCCACCTGCAGAAAGTTTGTAGGCGTAAACCAGAGTTGTGCCTGTCCTCGCTTTGTCTTAGCCAGATGCCAGTGAGCTGCGTTCCTGTGGAGATAAAGATGACCCTTGCCACACCAAAAAAACAATGAGGTCTGGACCTCTGCTGTGGGCATTTGATGGACACAGTGCAACTTTGCAGCAAAATAGTCAACAAGCTGCCACAGACCAGAGCAGCAGAGAACCTCAGGGGCCAGTGAGGTGTTAGAAGCCGTGGGATTCCTGTGTGTTAGGGGAGGTTGTGAGCAGTGCCTTTCCACACTGATCAGTGTGTGTCTTCAGGGAACACGAGAAGGAGATACAGAACCGAAAGAGGGGGAAGAGGCCCAGGGGCAGGCCCAGGAAGCACACGGTCACATCGTCCTGCAGCCGTCGCTCCAAGCTYAAGGTGAGTGTGCACTTCTAAGACCTCTTTGGGCAGAGGAAAGGTTTCAGGGCTCTTGGGTGGGGACGTTACTTCTGCAGAAGTTTTCCTCTGCTCAGAAGGCGGAATCCCCCTGTGTGCTGCCTCCAAGCCTCTGAGCAGGGKCACTAGCAAGTCACAGAGTCCTGYCTYTCCTTCCACCCTGTTGGCATCCTGCAGGGCCAAGCCTCCTGACCCTGTTTCTCTGGGCTTCTATACATTTTTTCTGGGTAGCAGGGTCAAACTTGGCCACTGCCTGTGATTCCCTCTTGCTCCCGGGGGCTTATCATCAAGAACCAGAAAAGAATGGGAAGCATCATATGGAGGTGCTCAGAGGTTTACCACGTAGATATGGACCAACAGGGTAATTAGTCAGGCCCAAGATATTGGGCCATTCCATACCCAGCCCTGAGTACACCTTAAATCAAGGTAGCCAGGAAACACAGGGCTGGCTGAAGGCCCAGGAGCCAGCAGGAGGGCAGGGGGCCATGCTGTGCYGGTATCTTCTTGGGAATGTCCTGTCATTCCTCCCCTCCCTGCCGTGCTGACCACAGCAAGGTGGGCTTCCCACACCACAGGCATGCGTGCACCRGAGTCCCTGCCATCACCCCTCCACTCCCAACACACCAGAGGYGAGACGGGAGGGGAGTCCGGCCTTGGTCTGGATGTGTCTTTGATTGTCTTCTCAGTGAACTGCTGTGGACCCTGGCATGCCTTGGCCAGGAGCTCGGTCACTTCCAGTACCACTTCCAGGGGACTGTGGATCCCTACTTGGAATCTTGCTGACTGTTCTGCATGGAGGGGAGGGGTTCTTTTGTCTTTCAAATCTTCCTCTCCAGCAGGACAGTGCAGGCTACAGAAGCCTGTGGACTGTAAAAGGCTTTCTTTGGAGTGAGGAGACCCTCCAGGTCTGACAGGTTCAGTTTCCTGTTCAGATCAGGAGAGCTTCTCTGCAGGGAACCCATCTCCCTAACCACCTTAGAAGATTCTGCCCAGCAGRCAGCAGGGTACCTAAGAAACAGGGGGACATACTTTGGCATTTGGGATGACATTCAGAAGAGGAGGAGGGGGTGGTGTGTTGACCTGTGCACTAGAATGCTCTGAGGGGTCAGATTTGGAGATAGGGTGATTGGAGCAGGAATCTGCTTGGTTCTGATCGAAGCCCTTGGACTCTAAGGCTCAGCCCTCTAGCACAGTGGCTTGTGCCATTCTGGGTACAATGCCCTTTTTGACTTGTCTGCCAGATATCTAGAGCAAAACTTGTGTCCCTTAAAAGCCAGTGGTGTGTGGGAAGTTCTGTGCTGTATCCTCRTTACTCCGAGTTAATTTTACAAACAACCTGTTTTGTTTTTGTTTTTGTTTTTTTCTACTCTGCCTTTAACTTTACATTTCATGTAAAGCCTGTTACATCTTTTGGGGACCACATGGTGAGCGGTCACTTCTCCTTGGTCTGGGAAGCCACCRAGTTACTGGCTGCAGATGCTGACGTCCCTTGAGGAAGCCTGGTGCTCTGACCTTGGCACCAGGCAGCAGAGAAATGACTCCCTCCTCTTGTCTTCCCAGGAACCCGATGCACCCTCCAAATCCAAGTCYAGCAGTTCCTCCTCTTCCTCCACGTCATCTTCGTCTTCCTCAGATGAAGATGACGACAGTGACTTAGATGCCAAAAGGGGTCCCCGAGGCCGTGAGACCCACCCAGTGCCTCAGAAGAAGGCCCAGATCCTGGTGGCCAAGCCTGAGCTCAAGGATCCCATCCGTAAGAAGCGGGGGCGCAAACCCCTGCCCCCGGAGCAGAAGGCGGCCCGGCGGCCTGTGAGCCTGGCCAAGGTGCTGAAGACCGCCCGAAAGGAGCTGGGGGCCCCAGCCAGCAAGCTGCCCCCTCCACTCAGCGCCCCTGTGGCAGGCCTAGCGGCCCTAAAGGCCCATGCCAAAGAGACCTGTGGCGGCCCCAGCACCATGGCCACCCCGGAGAACCTGGCCAGCCTGATGAAGGGCGTGACGGGCAGCCCCAGCCGTGGCGCCATCAGCTGGCAGAGCTCCATTGTGCACTACATGAACCGCGTGGGCCAGAGCCAGGCCCAGGCGGCCAGCAGACTGGCACTCAAGACCCAGGCCTCCAGCAAGTGCGGCCTGGGGCTGGACCTAAAGATGAGGACGCAGAAAGGGGAGCTGGGGATGAGCCCCCCAGGAAGCAAAGTCCCAAAGGCCCCCAGCAGTGGAGCTGGGGAGCAGAAAGGGAGCAGCGCAGGGGGAGGACCCYACACCCATGGCAGCAGCAAGGTCCCCGCCGGGTGCCCAGGCTCCCAGCTGGCACCCACCCAGGAGCTGAGCTTGCAGGTCTTGGACTTACAGAGTGTCAAGAAYGGCATCCCTGGAGTGGGCCTGCTTGCCCGCCATGCCACAGCCACCAAGGCCATCCCTGCACCCCACCCCGGCACAGGGAAGGGCACTGGGGGTGGCCCGGGTGCTGTGAGTGCAGCCGGCATGACCACTGAGGCGGGCAAAGGGGAGAAGCTGGCCTCCAGAGCAGCAGCACTGCCCACCCCTGCAGGCAAGAGGGAGAACATCAAGAACAGCTCTGCCCCCGGGGGACAGGACGGCCACGCAGCCCCCGGAGAAGTCCGCAAGGCCACCATGCTGTCGGAGATGAGCACTGGTGAAGAGAACAGCAGCTCCGACTCGGACCCTGACTCGGCCTCGGTGCCAGGTGCCGGGCAGAGTCTGTCAGTGTCCGTCCAGACCAGCCAGGACTGGAAACCTACCCGCAGCCTCATCGAGCACGTGTTTGTCACTGATGTCACAGCCAACCTCATCACTGTCACGGTGAAGGAGTCCCCCACCAGCGTGGGCTTCTTCAACCTGAGACATTACTGAGGCCCTGGGCCACCCCTACCCAGAGCTCCCACCCACCCAGGTCTGACCCCTTCTCCCTCTTTGCCTTTGGTGAAGTGCGGCGGCCTGCCACCCCACAGCTAAGGGGAGGTCTGCAGGGGTCTCCTGCACCACTGGCTTGAAGACCTCTCTCCAGACCCTGCCCCGGGGCTTGGGGCTGCCTCCTTGCCTTGCTGGGGCCTGGCTTCCCTGTGTTCCTACCTCTTCAGGCCTCCCTCGCTCCCGTCGCCTCAGGAGGTCCAAGTGGCCCTGGGGCTCAAGCCCCTGCCAGCTCACTGCAGGTCTCCACATGAGTTTGGGTGCCCCTTCCTAGCCTGAAATGACAGCACTCAGACCTGCCTTGTTCCCAGGGAAGGGATCGGGGGGAGCTTCTGGCACAGCTCACTGTTCCCCCACAGGGGTGGGCAAAGTAGAGGGGGTGGGGGGCCTGGGCATCCTTAGGCCTGGCACCAGCCTTCAGAAGGTCAAATAGGGCGGAGAAGGGGCCTGTGGGCAGGAACCCCAGCCAGAGCTGTGCCTGAGCCTTTAAGGACAAGGTAGACACCCTGCCCCAGGAACGGCAAGGACAGGGTCAGAAAGCAAGGTCAGGAACCCCAAAGATGTTGGATTTAGCACCCTCTGACCCTGATTCCGATTAACATCTCCAGCCCGAGTTGGCCTCAAGGGTCCAGGAACATCTGAGGATCYTCCAGGAGTCTGAACCAGATGGCACTGCTGCCTCCTGCCAGCCTGTGCCTCRGGGTCCTCTAGAGTACACCCTGGTTCCCAGGGTTGGAGCCGCTGGCCTGGGGGAGGGGACAGACACAGGCCAAGAAGCTGGGACTAAGAGTTGGGCCAACAGGCTTTCTGCAGGGGGGGGGCCCTTAGCAGGCAGCTGGATTCACCAGCCTAGGCCTGTGGCCCATGGACTGGCTGCCAGCCACAGGACAATRGGGAGTGCARATGTTTGCCCCAAGTCCATGGCCCTGACCCAGTGGATAGGCCACTCCTCAGGTGCCACTTTCCCTGACAATCCCCACACACACAGACACACCTTTGGGGGTTCCATATTCTGCTTCCCAGGTGAGAAGCAATCTCCCAGTGCCATTGTGGATGTGGGACAAAGTCTGAGCAGCCTGCCTAGCGGAGGGCCTGTTCATCCCCTCCAAGAAACAAGATTTCTGAACCCACCTGAGGGCCTTCTCCCTGTCCCGCCTCAGATCTGAGTCTCAGAGCCGCCTTGCTAGGTTTCTGGTCAATGTCGGGATTTTTGTGCCGGGATGACAGCAGAAAGGTGGGCAGGAGGTGGCTGTGGTAGGCAATCTGATTGACATGATTTTGTGATGCCAAAAAGTCTGGGGGAGGTCTGGAACTGTCACCAGCCTGCAGAGGTCCTCTTGGCTCCAGCCACCTTGCAGAGAGGTGCTGTCCTTCCTCAAGCCAGCCTGCCTAGGGGCTTGCCAGGCTTCAGGACCCCCAGATCCTCACCCCCACACCAAATAGGAAGAGATGGCCTCTGTGCAGCCAGATTGACCTCAACAGTGTGCCTTTGGGGACAGAACATGTCCATCACTGCACTGAGGGTCATCCAGGTCCAACTGGCAGGAAGTGCTGCCTGCAGCAGGGATGGAGCCCACCCTGCGGGCTCCTTGGCTGACTCAAACTTTGCAGCTTCTTTTCTGCCAGGCACTGTACTGCCTTAGAGGTTCCTCTAAGCTCTTGAGAGGAACCTAGAGTCCCACTAGCTGTTAGCAAAGTAGGGGTGTTTGTCCCTGGGTGTCTGGGCTGACCAGCCTTGTCCCCAGTTGCCAAGTCTCTCCAGACCCCAATTTGGTGCCTTTCTTTTTACCAGCTACTTCAATCCCAAAGCTTAAATCTGCAAACACCTTCCCGGCCACTCTGCCTTCTTGCTGTGTTGCGTGTTGTGACCCCAGTGTTTTATGTTAAAGAGCGTGTGTGCGGGTGCAAGAGTCCCGGCTGGAGAGGTGCACCAGAAGCTCCAAGCTGGTCATTTATGTTTACCAATAAATAAAAGTAGTTCTTTTTATATTTTCATTTGCTGCTGTGTGTGTGTGTGTGTGTGTGTGTAGAGCTAGGCATTGGTCACACATCTGACTTAAGATTCGTTGTTGCTTTATTCCTAAGGGTCCCAGGTGAACTGTACCACGGTTTGTACTGAGTGGATGTTTTAGCCCTTGTCTTTTTGTTGCTTCTGTATTGGGTGGGAAGGGGCCAGCTTGTCCTCTTAGAGACTTTGGCATATTTTTATATGTATTTTTGGTACAAAAAAAAAAAAGTGCTCTTTGCTTTAGTGACACTCCAAATTCTGAGCCCACTAAGCTCTGGACTTGAGGCTCCATCAGAGGAAAGCTTGTGGGGAGAACCGGAGCTCTAACCAATGTCAAGCAATGGCTTGATTTGTTTTTTTGTTGTTGTTTTTTGTGGTGCTGGGGATTGAACCCAGGGCCTTGTGCATGCAAGGCAAGCACTCTACCAACTAAGCTATATCCCCAGCCCTTGATTTGTCTTTTAATAAAAAAAAAAAAAAGCCAAATCCTGTATACTTCTTGCAACTGCTTAATCTCTAGCTGTGTCTGCTTTCTTAAGGAGAAGGAGCAGAATGAGTGTGTCGTGTGTCGTCACCCTGACTTGACAGCTCTGTGTTGAAACAGGACAGCAGCCTGGCCCCTCTTCCAATGGGACAAGGAAGTGGTGTGGGGAAGGGGTCTGAGCAGGGAAGAGGTGGTCCCTAGACTACCAGATTTTTACCCAAGTCCATCACACAGTTCTATAGAGTTTTCTAGTACTTTATTGGAAAACTAACACTAGCATAGATGGCAGGGGGCTTTAGTCTGACATTAATTTATTTTGCAGGAGAAGGACTTTAATAAATGGTACCAGAAGATCCTTGTCTTTTTGTTAACCCTTAGTATATCAATAAATATATTTTTTAACTTTTTAGCCTGGTACATAATGAGTGATGTCTGGAAACAAAACAGACTGCTTTCCTTGTCTTGGGGCAAAATATTCACCTGGGTACAGACTGAATAGTTGGTGCATGGAAAAGGCTTAAGTGTTTTCAAAAATATTTATTTGCTTCTTTATTTTTGGTACTGGGGATTGAACTCAGATGCACTTTACCACTGAGCTGCACCTCCGACCTTTTTCTTTCTTTTTTTTTTTTTTTTTTTCCTTTTTTGAGAAAGGGTCTTGCTAAATTGCTGAGACTGGCCTTGAASTTTTCAATCCTCCTGTCTCAGCCTTCCAAATCGCTGGAATTAGACTTAATTGTTTTCATAGGGCACAAAAAATAAAAAATGTTTGAGGAAGCAAGGAATGGTGTTTGATATYTAAGTGAGACTCTACACCAGCAGTCCACGACCAAGGGCAATTTCAGGGGACACTTGGCAGTGAATGGAGAGGGTTGTCACATAGGTTGGGTTCTACTGGCATCTAGTGGGTAGAGACCAGGAACGCTTCAAAAATACCCTGCAATGCATTCGACAGTTATCCATGACAAAAAACACACGGAGACATCTCCTAGAGGCATATCAAAAGTAAAACCAAAATTCTGCCCCTCCTTCCAGTGCCTTACTGGACTGCACCCCTGGGAAGTTCTGGAGAGTCTCTGTGAAGCCAAAAGACTGGAGAGCCCGCTCRCTGTGGCTCCTACCCCATGGCTCATAATAAAGAGATGATGTGCTTATTATATAGCCTTCCCTGCTCCTTTAAGGTTTGCATTACCCTCGGCATGAATTTATTCATAAATTTCATTCTCCAGGGAGAATGGAGCTTCCTTTGAAGTGAAGAGAACTTGGGCCTGGAGTCTGGATGCCCCTGGCTGAAAGGCTAATTTGGGCAAATTAGCCTGTTTTAGTTCAGGGGGGACCCCAGCTCCCAGCTCCAGAAAGGCACCTGGAATCTCAGAGGCAGGCGGCACTGGGTGCCATTTATTTGGGTTGCTTCCTGAGGCCGTTTACTTTGGAGAAGGTGAGCAGGGTGGATCCCAGCTGTCCTATGCTCTGGATTCTCCAACTGCATAGAAGGCCTGGGGACGTCCCGGAAGGAGCCAGTTAGCGGAGCAGGAGCGGGAGCCGGCTCTGGCGAGGTGGAGAAGCCACACTTTCGTGAGAACCCATTTCTACAGGACTTGGCCAGACAGGTACGGGCCCTTGACCACACAGGCTTATGTAAGTTTCAGCCCTGCTAATCTGATCATCATCTAACCCACTGCCCTCCCAGAAGAATGGGCTGTGCCCAAAGAGGCCGGATCCTTCTCGAAAACCCAGCCGCACGCGCCACCTGGACCTACCGGAGGGCGCCCGGTGCGACTAGGGCCGTGGGGCTTGGAGGACAGCTGGACATCTTTCTTTCTTTCCTCCACTCTTGCGGCTCGAGGTGCTGGCCTCAAGGAGGGCTCGGTACCGAGCACCCCCGGGTGCCTTTGGCTTATGGTGGGGTGGAGGTGACTCTGCTGCTGTCAGGAACCAGAAAATATGACCGTCTCTCTGGGGGGGGAGGGGAAGCTCTTGGGACCTAGGCAGAAGCTGCTGCCTCTAGAGGGCGCGCGCGTCCCATGAACTTCGGGGCCGCCGAAGCTTTGGAAGTGCGGGCATCACTCAGTCCCGGTTGCTACAGGCTGCCCCTAAACTTATTGCACCCCTCTACCCTGCCGTCCTGAGTGGCCCCCTGCCATCCGGGTCTCAGAAGGCTGAAAGGAAAGCCCGGGATCCAGTCTACAACCTCACACGCCACGCCACGGTCTGCCCAGGACTTCAGGCAGTCATCTACCTGGGACCGCCTGAAATCAATCCTCTGCCACCCCCATCTCGGACTCCAGATGGGTCTCTGAGAAGAGGAAAGCCAGTGGGCACAGTTGTATCCGCCTCCCGCCTCCCCTTCTGCGCACAGCACTGGGTCTCCACCAGAACCCTTGCGCAGGAATCATCGTAGGCACAAAACAGACCTATCCGACACTCCGCGAAGAGCCACAAACATTCCGT